CTTATTAAATGATTAATTTCTATCTCAACAAACTCGGAAATATTACCTATATTTAGTGGGCCTACGTTTGACCACTATCTCGCCTGATGATGCTGTCTACGATGGAGCACATCGTCCAATAAGCAAACTTTTCAGTCGGACCTTGAAGACACCCAGGTTATATCCCTCAGGAAATACAGACTATCGCAAAGAATCCTACTCTTTAGCAGTACGCACAAGGAAGCTTGATGCGAAGCGCTTCGTGCGTGTGGGTGAGACATCTACCATGGTCACGCTTCGCCGATTGTCTTGTGGTACGATGATGGAAAGGACTATGAGGAATCAAGTCGTGCAATTCCCTCGCACACTCACCGAAATCCAAAACAAATAATAAGGTCAAATTGTCTCCATGATCGGAATGAGTATATAAAATACATAAAATTTACTCCAGTGACATCATGTCATCGTACCTTTGATCTACGTTTATTTATCTATCTTATATGGTTCAAAGCGCTTATTTATCGTGGTATGAACAAGGAATGTTGTTACCTATAAGGAACATGGTTCTAGGAAGAATTTTCTTGAAGCATAAAATGATGATATAATTTTATGGAATTTCTCAAGATATCAAAGTAGGTACATCCGTATAGACATTGTTGTATTTTTAAGGGGGGAAAATCATCGAATAAGTTCTTTCGCCTGGGTGAGGCGGGAGGGAGTGTCAGACTCTTACTGACTAAAAACCCTTTTCCTTCTCCTGCGCTTCGAGCCGGAGCCCCGGTAACCCGTTAGGTTCTCCGCGACAGACATTGTTGTATAGTTTTGCTAGCAGTTTTAGTAGGATCTGATTGGGTTTTGGTTATAGTTGAATTTCCGAGGATTATATTATCTAATCACATTCTGAGCGTCAAAACATTCGGCCGCTTCGATGTCAATAGGGAATGTACCCAGAAGGCACATAAATAGTTCTTTTTGTTTTCTTTTACTTTTTTTGTCCAGTGCATTACAGTGAGCATTCACGTCAAACCTCTGAATGTGGTCAAACAAACTATTTTTTCAGCAATAACACGTTACAACTTCTCCAGATTAAACGTTGTGAACATTTACAAAAATATGAAAACAAACATTCATAATGAATAAAAAAACACAACGCATTTTTTTAAAGTTCAACGCTATATATTGACCGAATTGTTTTCATTTAATCAAATGTCACCGCTATTTAAGTAAAGATGTGCATATACCTAAATCAAGTTTACATAAATTCTCAAATACCTACTACTGAATATAAAACTCTCGAGTAGGAACTGAACTTATAATAATCTAGCGAAATGTCTTTTAAAAGTAGGCTGAAGGCGAATTTTTAAAGGCAACAAAGCAACAAGTTGTGTGGGGCTTAAATTATAACATACTTACCTGTGTAATTTAAAGATAAATAAATAATAATAAAAAAAAAATTATAGTGAGTGTGGCCGAGTGGTCGCAAGTTGACAATTTGCGCATCAACACTTTGTGTGATCCACAAATTGTTGTTTCGGGTCTGGGTGTCATGTGTATGTGAACTTGTATTTTTGTAAACACACCCACGACACAGGAGAAAATCCTAGAGTGGGGCAATGTTTAAAAAAAACTTAGTTACTACTAAGTTAAACCCAGTACTTGCTACTGCAAGGAGTCTGGAAATGAACGAAATCAATGCGGAACTGAAAATTAACAGTACTTACCTAGATAGAATAAAAAATAACGAAATTATAAGGCTGCCTCATTCTACCCATGCTTTATGAATTTAAATACTTAACTATTTAATACCTAAACGATGTAATTAAATAGCACCTTGATTGCCCTCGTAAAATCTCATATTAAAGTATCAAAATTTGAGCTTTTAAAGTGCACTCAAATATTTCACGAGGTCTCAATTACAAACTTGTGATGAAACTTTAGTAATTATCTCGATTTCACACCCTAAGTACTTGAAATGCTTTAATTTTTTCTTAAATCTTGAACTATAATGAAGATTACAGATGACTTTTTTTTGAGGGGGGAAAATCGTTATTTTTACTCATCTAAATAAGTTGTTGTGTTACTTAAGTTAAGATTTTAGGGTAATCTAAGTAGGTAGGTAGGTACTCATAAATCCCAACCCAAGAATCTAACCGTAGCTCTCCCCTCATTTTTTCAGGTACTCGACGAGGTGGTGATGCTGAAAGATTACCTAAATCTTTTTATTTATAATTCACACCTGAAATTTAAGAACTCTACTACATACTCAAACCTTGTACCGCTTGTCATTAACACATAGATAAAGGTCATCGTTCAGCATTGAACCTTGCTACGTTTAATATAAAGTCAATATTTGTAAATATGTTACGGAAAAACAGTTCATGTTGATGTTGATAAAAATAGACATATTTACCTGAAGTCTTGTTGTTATTATCTCATCATTGAGCGAGTAAAAAGTAAGTACTTTGGGCTTGATCTCTGAGCCGGGTAACGTGAGTGGGAAAATATTCTATCGAAATTCATATTTATTTGGCAAAAATGATTACAGTGACATAAACCTGCATAGTTGGCGCGGTGGCTGGGCAACTGACAGCCACGCAACGTATCGCGGATTTGATTTCCGCACGGAACAACTTTGTTGTTGTTGTTGTTCCGGGTTTGGGTATTATGTGTGTGTGAACTTGTATGTTTGTAAACTCAACCACGATTTCCACGACACAGGAGAAAATCCTAGGGAGGGGCAACGTTCTTTTTTTTAAGAAAACCTTGGTATCTATTTTTATTTCATGATACAATTTGCTCTGGGTGGTGACATTATTACCTAACTATTTTGGTATTATCCAGCGTCGGACTGATAGTGATATTTATAGGATACTTTATTCCCTATCAAAAGATAACATTCAGATTTTTATTACTTGAATTCAATGAAGAACAATACAGTTTAATTAAATAAGCCCTTAACTACAACAGTTTTAGTATCTACTTTTATATTTATACCGATAAACAAAATAATAAAATCATTGTATTCTAAATTAACTCATATTATTACTTACTTAAAGCACTTCCCAGCTATTTGCATAATACATTTTAGATTCAAATCGTACTAAGAAACCATAAACTCAATTATCCTGAACAATTGGCCTACTGATTCAATGCCGCGCTCCTTAAATTCAAATTAAGATTCAACACAATGTTGCCATGCTTAAATATTCTAATCTAATAGATCTATTCACGATTCTGTTTGTTTATTCTAATTTTGTTTTTGTTGTTTAAAAAATATTTAGAGATTTATAATTAATATACTTAGACAGAAAATTTTAATCAATTGTACTAATTGGTGTCTTTCTTTGATTAAAATAAAAGAAACTTGAAAATGACTTTGACATGACTTTGACGTTTTATTGAAATACTAGCGACCCGCCCCGGCTTCGAACGGGTGCAATATGCATGTATTATACATACAAACCTTCCTTAAGAATCACTCTATCTATTAAAAAAAACCGCATCAAAATCCGTTGCGTAGTTTTAAAGATCTAAGCATACATACGGACATACAGCGAAAGCGACTTTGTTTTATACTATGTATTGACTAGCGACCCGCCTCGGCTTCGCACGGGTGCAATATGCATGTATTATACATACAAACCTTCCTTAAGAATCACTCTATCTATTAAAAAAAACCGCATCAAAATCCGTTGCGTAGTTTTAAAGATCTAAGCATACATACGGACATACAGCAAAAGCAACTTTGTTTTATACTATGTATTGATAAAGAAAACAAAAACTATCGACGTAACCCAATCATAAAGAGATAGATAAAGGAGTGTTTTGAAAAATCAGTGGGTCACGCAGATCATGTTTGACGTAAGACTGGTTAAAAACCGAAACATTATAAGGGGCCCATAAATGCGTTCTAGAAAGACCCCACTTCTTTAAATTCCCTTGAGTCAGACAGAGTACCTAACGATTTTCGTTAACTTTTTTTTAAGGGGGGAATATCATCGAATGAATTCTCCCGCCTAGATGAGGCGAGCGGGAGTGTCAGACTCTTACTGACTAAAAACCACCCCGTTCCTACTCCTGCTCCTCTCTAACTATATAGGATACATAGATAAGTTAGATATAGTGCCCTTAATATCTCATTTTATTCTGCGGCGCACTATTAGAAATCCTATGTCCTACAGAACCTACAGACAGACGACGGAAATAGACTGATGATGATGAACCATAAAAGACGAACTTGTTACCTACATTATTTTAATGGACAAGCTTTTCAAAATACTTACTTATATTCGGAATGAGATCATTAGCCCCATAAATTAAAACTAAGTGTTGACAGTACCTTCTATTAATACCTTTGAATTTAAACAAAGAACAGAATTAAAAACAAAACGTTCATGACAACAACAACGGTTTTGAAGTACCTACTTAATATGAAAATTATGTAAATTGCAAATTGACGAATGATGAGACTATTTCCGAAATGGCTTACCTACAGTAAATAACATTATAACCACAAAAAGGAACAAATAAAAATCTGTAAACAAGTTGGATATCGATATAAATGGATACCCATCTAGATAATTATGTTACTTTGTGCCAATTTGTATACCACCATCCACCATCATTGTTGAAATTCAATTCAGCAATTTCTAAACATAAAATAATTTTCATAGTTCCGAAAAAACTTTCTCAATTTTTTATTAATATTTACTTAGGAGGTTAAATAAACAGATTTATAGATTTGATAGTTATGACAATAATCGTAATTTACTAATTACTAAATCATTATAGTACGTACTACCTACGTAAATAAAAAATCGTCAACGAGGAAAAAAGGGTACCTAAGTGAACAAATTTTTAGAAACTTTTTAGTAACTACTAAAAATAAATTGTTTAGACTAGCATGTAGATAAAAAATTACAAAATGCTATCTTCAATTTGTTAGAATCTGAAATGAGGAGGCCTATCTTTTTATATAATTCATGTTATAAATTAAAAAATTAACCTCATGTACAACTTACCTTCTTCTTTGATGGCGTCTTTCCCGCCCAAATTTTCCGCGTCAGCCATATTTTTTAATACACAGACACTACACTCACCGAAACCAAAACAATTTTATTATAAACGAACTTGTCGCACGTAATTTAATGATTCTTCTCCCTCATCACTTCACCCACAAAACAAATTACTTTTTAACAAATAAATTACAGAATTAACGAAACACACTTTTATTTAGGTATTTACAATTTTATTAAAAAAATAAACCTGTCAAAAATGTTTAAAAAATAAATAAGTTCGCGCGTAATACTTTCCCGCCAGTAACCGAGTTTTTTAGTCTTGGCATACACGTCCCAATGCCTCAAGAGATGATCACAAACTGTTCTATTTTGGTAGATGGAACAAATTGAAAGATTTATAAGCAAGAATAATTTGCGGAAAATACCTACTTTAGCGGTTGTTCGTGTATCAGATTTTTTTATTAATAAATTGTAACGTAAATAACACTTGGAGCCACATCTTATTATTTTCAACGACATTAGGACTGTTCATTTGACAGTAAACTGCAAAGATTTTCAGGCCTCTAATAATTACGAAATAAGAACAAAGTGTGAAATTAAAGTTCTACTTTTCACAAATAAATATTAATATGTTCATGGGCTTGGGCTTTAAAAAGTTTTATTGTTTTATTAAACTTGCTGTATACTTAGGTAATTAAATATAGCAAAGACGGCGAAAGTTTAACTGGAGTAATATCACAGCCTCACAAAAAAAACAGCGTGGAACAACGCTTGCGTTGTGATTTGGCTTATAAGTAAGTCACATCCTTTACTAATAAATTCGTTTAGGGTGACGAACTAACGACCCTAAACGTCTTTAATCATTTAAATTCTTTATCCTCTATTTCTATAAATATATTAATAAGTAGGTAACACAAGATTTATCGTACTAAACTACTTATTCATACTTTATTTATAACTTGCTACCACTAGGTACCATATTTTCTAATCTTTTTACCCAAAGATATATGTAGATTGGAATTTAAATTAGGTAAAGTTTTTCTTGGCGGTGCACAAAATAATTCCGAATCGCAGTTCAAAGTATTTGTTTGTTATAGACTTCCTACATATCTATACGTCTGGGAATTGAGTAGTAGTCGAACTGCGCCACCAAGAAAGTGTTTCAATATAAATCCTTCACTAAGACGTATTTCTAGTGGTTGTGAAATATTTAATGAGTCGACGTGTTCGCTTGCAACTCTGCCTTCCTTAATCTTGGAGAAATGCTAGCAGCTCTTGAATATTGTACATTATGGAGTGCTTCGAGTTCGAATAAATATTTGTGCTCGTGCAGCACGTTTTGTTGTTGGCTGTTTCACGTATTGTTCGGAATATAGGATAATATAAAGTATCATTTCGCCTTCTGATCTTCAAATGGATATGCAGACGTGCTAAACATGTGACACTCCCTTTTCACTGATCAAAAGCATCATGTAATTTAACTACACTGTGGGCACAGTCTTTAGAATATGGGATAACCTACAACTAACTATTGTTTTACGAAGCTCTTTTAGGGAATCCCTGCTAAACTGCTAAGAATTGACGATATCTGAAAAAACATAATATGACAAAGGATTGGATTAGAAAAATCGAACAAAAAGTTTGTGTAACTTATTGCAACGGCTTACATATTTGAAACATAAATTATTACTTTTGATTAAAATGTTATTTAATATCGTAAAGATTTATTAAAATTAAATATTACAAATTAAACAAAAAAGGTTAAACAAAAAAAGAAACGCATCGTTATTATTTAGCTCTTAGCACATTCTAAGCTGTCACTGTCAAAGTTTTGTCACCTGACAATAATATGTCAAATACTCGACTCACGCGAGCGCAATGTTTTTGTAATTTATTTACTTCATAAATAAGCAGTTAATAAACTTAATAAGTGTTAATTAATCAATTATTTAAGTTAAGAAATAATTGTGAATAAGTGATAAATGCGTTAACAATGTCAGAAGAGGATGAAAACTTGCATCGTTTGGCGGGATCTTCTGGGGATGCTCCGGGCGGTCTTATAATCAAAAAGAAAGATCCTCCAGCGGAGTTTCAGTTTGCCAAGCCTTCGTTGTTAGGGTTAGATAAGCTGGCAGCAGCCAAACGTAAGCAGAACCGGCTAATATCGTTCCAGGACGATACGAACGAGGATGATGGTGATGACAGTAAGTCCGAGGCCAGTAGTTCAAAAGAACGTAAATACAGAAAGCATAATGAGGAAACACCAACTTACACCGGTGGTATATCAGAGCAAGCACGAGAACGCATGCTTGAGAGATTACAGAAGTAAGAAATTTTGGTTATTTTTGTAGTTTTTATACTGTTGTATTTTCGCATTAGTAAAAACCTACAGAATCTTGCTGTTAAGTTGTTTATTCATATATTCAAAAGTAGTGGCGTGTTCATGGTTAATCTTCTCGGCTTCTAATGTTTATGCCTATATGTTTGTCTTAAAAACTTTCAAGTTAGATACTTTTGGTTTGGATAAAAGAAAAATATTGTGCAATTATTTAACAGAGATAACATTAAGTAGTTGGTCATTGTAGAAATGAGTTCGATTTAGAAAAAAATATTCATCATTATTTAATTCCATTGTAGTAACAAGTTTAGTTATAAAACTGTTTACATTGTAATGATCTAAAATATACAAATCAAATTCATTTCTTTTCTTTATTTAATACTCAAATAAAATACATACAAGCTAATCGGTAACTTTATTTACAGAAGAGAAAAAGAAGCAAAAGAGAAAGGTGTACATCATTCAACACAAGAAGAAAAGAAATCACGGTCTAAAGATGATGAGGATGATCGTTACTACCGTTATCGCTATGACAGGAGGGACCGTGATCGTGATCGCAGAAGGGATGATAGAAGGGACAGGGACCGTGATAAAGATAGACGTAAAGATGGAAGAGACTCGGAACGGAGTTATAGAGACAGTGACAGGAGAGGAGAAAGTTCTAGGAGGAGTAACTATGAACCGAGGTTTAAAGATGAGCCTAGGACTCCTAGGTATGTTGGATATTAAATGTTACTTTACTGTGATTATGCTTAAGTGATTTTATATAGGTAGATTAGTCTATCTGAAAAAATTACAGTTTATTAATGTATCAAAGACTATTGTAACATGCTAAAGCGATTGTATTAAATTAAAACCCTAAACTACTTTTTTATATTTATTTATTTATTCATTTAGTCTTTAATGTACACAATTTGATTATGGCACATAAGGCGAACTTAATGCCATATGGCATGCTCTACCAGTTTATATATCATATGTCTACTGCACTGTAAAATATACATTTTTAACCTAGATTTAAAGTATTTACATGATTCTTATTAGAATAAGCATGTCTTTGCGATCGTATTTGTAGAGCCAGCAACTGCAACTAGAATAGAAACTGTCAATATTTAAATTCTGACTGACACTTAGAAATTGTGAACAAATAATAAAAGCGTACTCAGTTCTTCGGAAATTAAGCTATATGACTTTCAAGTTTTTAAGCGATATCATAAATAATAACTTCTATTAATTTCCTAAAGAATATTACTTATCCTTATGAGTACCATACAAGTATCAACCTTAACATTTCAGCATGAAAGTCCTAAAACCAACGGACAAGACAGCCTGGGATGACGATGACGATGATCCCAAGGCTCCTATACGTAAGTCCAGTTGGGACTTCCCAACTCCACTGACTCGGGACGGTGGTGATCGGTCACAGAGGAGTGAGAGGAGTGGAAGACCACTGAGGGATTACAAAGGAAGATTGTATGAGAATACACCGAGAGCTTCACCTCATAAGTAAGTTTTATGTTTTTATTACGACAGAGTTCTGACTGCTTAATTGGCCGAGTGGTCGCAATTGTGGTGAGACTGGTGGGCAAGGAGGTTTGGGTTCGATTCCCGAGTTGGACAAAGTATTACAAGGTTTTTAAAAAATTCTCAATAGTAGCATGGAGTCTGGAATTGTATCCGGTATATGGCATTAGGCGCACCCCCATTACTTGAAACACAGCACAATAGTCGTGACAATTAGTATTTAAGTTTATTACTTACATATTATGTTTTTATAGTATTTTAAGTTGGAATTTCGGTAGATATTATAGTATTATTGTATTTTAATATGGGCCTTATTTGCCTGATACAAATAAATAAATTAATTAAAAAAAACGTAACGTAAACAGTGAAAAGTGGTTGTTACATTGTACAGTGGCATTAAGTGCCGTAAGGTGCACCACTGCCAACCCTTTGGGGATAAAAGGCGTGATGTTATGAGTTCAGAGAGTCAATAGGATATAGTCTATAGACTATGTTAATTTACTTATACAGGCAGGGTTCACAAAGTACTTGTAATAATTAATCATTTTGTTAATGTTTCCAGGTTCGCCAGTTCGAGGCGTGGAGTTGATATTGATGACCCAGAGTGGGAGGAGGCTGAGAAGAAACTGGACCGAGCTTGGTACAATATGGGTGAAGGTAAATAATTGACATTAAAAGATTCATTGTAATGCAAGCGATTCGATTCATTGTAACAAAATAGTTGACTAAAGTATGAAATAGGTTGTTTTTTTTGCTGTAAAACTCATATCATCAGGTCAAACAATACAATGCTGTTGATTGTACTATAAAACTCGATTTCTAAAGTGCAGCATAGCACAGCACACAATAATGAGCTTTACTCTTTAAACAATAGGATTAATTTTGCGTTAAAACTTCATTCCCACACAAACAAAAGAAAATCAAAACTCCTCACCACAGTCACACACAATAACAAAGCTTACCAACATCACAATAAGATTAATTGTCCAAATGCAGGTGAAGCGGACGAGTCAGATCCTTTTGCCGGCACATCAGCAGACTACGTAGCTCGCAAGGAGGAACAAATAGAGAAACGTAGAAACAGGAAGGTCTCCGCTCAGAGACAACAGATTGACAAGGACAATGAACTCTGGGAGCGGAACAGAATGCTCACCAGTGGTGTCGTACATGCTATCAATGTTAATAATGACTTGGATGAGGTATGCAGCCTTTTTTTACTAGTATTAATATTTTAGTACATTTGACTCTTACGTTATAAAGAATAAACAAGACATGGGTAGTTTGTGTCGGTGACAGTCCTGTCTTGGAAGTGTGGGAAAGCCATTCTTCGGCACTGCTGTGTCGGCTTGATCGAAGTGATACCATCAACGAGCAGAAAACTGATGTGTAAAACGCTTGCGTAGTGTTTCGTCGCGTGAGTGAGGTTACTGGAGGCCTAATTACTCCCCCTTTCCCAATCCCTGAATCCCGAACAATCCTAAAATTCCTAATCCCCAAAAAGCCGGTCACGCACTTGTAACACCTCTTAGTCTTCCAGGTGTCCATAGGCGGCATCCGTCTCTTCGTTTACCGGCTTATCCTATAAAAAAAGTCCTTTGCTGAACTGTATACCTCTTATACGTATTCTTCCACGTCTTCCATGTTCGGCAAGCGGTTTTGAGATCACAGGTTAAAATCTTCAAGATTAGGTGGTACTCGGTGTCTGTAACTTTTGCTGTCCTTGTATTCTGTGTATACAACACCGTGTGAAGAGTAGAGGAGAATAGTTATCCTACTCTGCCATTACTGCATTGCAAATTGTTTTATAATGATTTAAGAATGAATGTAACCACTGACCCATTCCTGGTGTTGTCCAGGAGAGCGTGGACCGCGTGCACCTGTTGGTCCACAACATCGTGCCTCCGTTCCTGGACGGCAGGATCGTCTTCACCAAGCAACCGGAGCCCGTCATACCTGTACGTAACATCATTTATTTATAATTTAAAATGACTATAATACGTAGATACTGAGGAGAATCAGCAAAATGTATACGACTTACTTATCAAACCTATTCCAAGAAAGCTCTTCAAGTCACACCAAGACATATATATATATATATTCAGGAACAGCATGTGGTTTGTATATGTACGGTGAAAGGTCAAAAGTCCACTGCCACCGTAAGACTACTATCGGTTGCGCTGCAGCGCTTATACCCACACACGCGCATATTTGTGTCAGTGTACGTACGCGTGTGTGTGTGTATGCGTACACACGCGTGTTTATGCACATTAATATGACATTACTTACGCATTGCCGTGTGAACATCACTCACGGTGGACTTTTGACCTTTGACTGTACATGGTAACACTCCATCACATCAAAGAGTCGCTATACTGGACTACTGACCTCGTCAGGCCGGTGTACTTAGACCCCCTCTAGGCCGCTCCGCCCCTAATTCTTCATAATACAGAAGTCGCTATGTATTACTTAACCGATGCATAGTGGATGTTCGATGTTACATTTTAAAGTCACCGTTCACTTAGATAGTTATTCAGTCTTCCATTGTCCAATACTGTCGCGGAGAACCTAACGGTTAACCGGGGCGACGTGCAGGAGAAGGAACGGGGTGGTTTTTAGTCAGTAAGAGTCTGACACTCTCTCCCGCCTCGTACAGGCGGAAGCAGGAATTCGAGGATTTCCCTCCCCCCCCCCTAAAAAAATTTCCAATACTAACAATATTTTGTCACTTCTAGGTAAAAGATCCGACGTCAGATATGGCGATGAATGCCCGCAAAGGCTCAGCTCTCGTGAAGGCGTTCAGGGAACAGAAGGAAAGAAGGAAAGCGCAAAAGAAACATTGGAAGTTAGAGGGAACTAAAATTGGTAAGAGATTATATTATTTTCTTTTTGTCACCGTTTAGCGTATCTAAAGGAAATCATAGTTTATTTTACCTTAGGAAAAACAATATATTTGAACAGTAGAAATAAACTTATTTGTATTATACCCAAGGACGTTGACAAAACTTGTTGACTGCCTCGTTGGCCGAGTGGTCGCAAGTGCGACTGCAGGGCAAGGGGTCTCCGGTTCGATTTCCGGGTCGGGCAAAGTATTTGTGGGTTTTAAAAAAAAAATCAGCTCGGAGTCTGGAATTGTGTCCGGTATATGACAATAGGCTCACCTCCTCACATGTGACTCATAACGAAAAATTGTGAAAAGTAGGAGTTACATTCTACAATGGCATTGAGTGGCGTAATGTGCACCTCTGCCTACCCCTTCAGGCATAAAAGGCGTGATGTTATGTTATGACGTTGAAAAAAAGCGAGTACAGCCTCTTGAACCAACGACTGTGGCACCTGGCTACTGTACACTACATGTAGAACATCCACACATTGACACGAAGGACATCTGTCAATATCTTACGTCTAGTAACGTGTCAAACCATTACGCACGCACACATAAATAACCCACTGATATTTTGGTGCTTCGATCATATCTAAGTGACATAATGTTCGCCATTTTTCAACATCCTTTATTATTAACTAAACTCACGGGTTACTCACGTGAATATACTGAGAACCCGCGAGCTGCGCGACGTCGCCGCGACGCGAGCAGCGTGCGTACGCTGCTCATGAGAAAGAACATACATACTTTTTTTTAAAAAGAGTAACGAATGGAGTTTCTTGCTCGTTCTTCTCCATTCGAATCTACGTTTTAGAATGAGCACCTAGCTTCACCTAATTTCACTGACGGACTGACTGACAGACTATTATTTATTTTGTATTTGTTGACGTTTCAAAAGTACCAAACTATGGTTTAATTGAAATAAATGCTTTGACTTTGAGAACCCCTCTGTGGTTCGAAACTAGTAGAGCTTTTCTCAGTAAATTCACGTGAGTGACCCGCGATTTAAGTTCATTTAATAGTCTCACTATAGTTATTATAAAAACATCCTTTATTATACCTACTAAAATCGAAATACTTATAGTAATGTCACTCTCATAATCAGTTTGATTAAATAATTCGTTTTCGGGTTAATGAAATTGTGTAACAAACATATGACTATTTTTATTTTGATTCCAGGTAACATCATGGGCATACAGAAGAAGGAGGAGGAGATGGAGGACGGTCCCACTAAGGACGCTTACAAGTACGCTGAACATATGGACAAAGGTTAGTAGCTATTTACAGTAAATTAAATAATTCTCATAGACAAAAGAAGGATAGATATAAGAATGATGTTCTAATCCTTATTATTTTTATCAACCATGCATTTTTAAGTCAAGGATACTCTAGAAGATAGATGTCCCAAGACATGGTCGGTCGCCTGACAGACATATTTGGTGACAACGCGCACCTTATGTCTGTAGTGACGTTGATATTGCCAGACATGTCGACCAGTCCGACAACGTCGCGGTACTTCACTCACGGTCGCTGGCGACACGTGTCTCGCAGGATATTTTGTCCGCTAGTGTATCGTTGGCTTTATTCTCAAAACGTAGACACGTCCCCTGATAGTAAGCAATCTGTGCCGCCTGCGTTTTGAGGTAGTCCTTAGATTAAAGTTGTAATATTTTCCTCGTACTGATTGATTGCCTCGTTGGGCAAGTGGTCGCAAGTGCGACTGCCAGGCAAGGGGTTTCGGTTTCAATTGCCAGGTCGGGCAAAGTATTACTGGGTTTTTAAAACATTCTCAGTAGTAGCACGGAGTCTGGAAATGTGCCCGGTATATGGCAATAGGCTCACCCCCTATTACATGAGTGGTATATTAGTATATTACATTGTATAGTGGCATTAAGTGCAGTAATATGCACCTCTGCCTACTCCTTCAGGGATAAAAAGCTGATGTTATTATCCTTGTAGACGCTCCGGAAGTGGAATCGAAGTCAGATTTCGTGAAGAAGATGACGATCGCTGAACAACGTCGGTTCCTCCCGGTGTTCGCAGTCAGAGAGGAACTCATGCAGGTCATCAGGGAAAACAGTGTCGTCATCATTGTTGGTGAGTGAAAATAGACTTTATTTATATGACATGACGGTTTAGTTGATTTTTATTGGTAGTTTAATTGTGGTCAGTGAAATACTGAACAATGGACTCTATTCCTTTGTTGTTGAAGTAATTTTTTTATTGATAGTAGCCGCAGCATTAACATTGAATAATCGTACTACCTCTACATATGAACTATTCTTCGCCTTGATCCTCAAGTTTCATGCTAAACAAGAAAGTTATATCAATTCCACTCAACCCTTTTAGGAGATGCCTTTTTTAAGTGGAAGTCGTCTGGCTGATGATTCTTTGAAGGTTTTCGCCATTCCGTAATAAAAGAATTAGGTACTTTCCTTAACGAAAAATTAGTTATTTCGACTGTTCAATACAATAAAAGATTAAAAAATAATCACATTTTTATTAATTGATTTTATTACCAATTTAATTTTAGTATTTTTTCCAGCAAATTCATTAGAAAAAGTATGCTTTTTGATGCTATAAAACGATATATATACGCTATAAAACGTGACGTCACAATACACAATCTCGTACAAAATTCATAAAAAAAAAGAAAACTGTCGTTTTGGACAGTTTGGAAAAATTATTGACTTTGACTAGTTGGCAAATTATGCATATTTTTTTATATTTACCTTGACCAAAATGTAAACCTGACCACTTCTCTCCGCAGGTGAGACGGGCAGTGGTAAGACGACCCAACTGACGCAGTACCTGCACGAGGAGGGGTTCAGTCGCCTCGGGACCATCGGCTGCACCCAGCCACGTCGTGTCGCCGCCATGTCTGTCGCCAAGCGAGTCTCTGATGAAATGAATACTAAACTCGGTACGTATTTTATTTACCTTCTTTATATAGGTACACAAAGCACCGCTAATTAGTTCGTAACGTGTACCTACTTCGTTTTGTTTACATAGCCCCACACTTTTTTTTTTAAGGGGGAAAAATCATCGAATGACTTCCCCCGCCTGGGTGAGGCGGGAGGAAGTGTCAGACTCTTACTGACTAAAAACCACCCCGTTCCTTCTCATGCTCGTCGAGCCCGAGCCCCGGTTATCCGTTAGGTTCTCCGCGACATTGCCCCACTCTACGATTTTCTCATGTGTCGTGGGCATTTACAAACACATAAGTTCATACACATCACACCCAGACGCAAAACAACAATTTGTGGATCACACAAAGAATTCCTCAGTGCGGGAATCGAACCCATGACACGTTGCGTGGTAGCCGGTTGCCCAGCCAGGTTGGATAGCTAGTTAAGCTATTCAAAGCTTATACAAGATAACATTATTTTCCAGTGTTAAAAGTTTTACTCAAGTTACCTTCCTTTCACTTCAGGGCAATCAGGGAAAGAGAAAAGTTTTAGTTACCTACCTGATATGCTATATATAAAAATTGTTTAGACTCTCATAATTATTTTGTTCATTGCGTGTTACTCAATTATACCTAAATGTCTAAATGAATCTAAATATTTGTTATTCATCTAGATTTAAAACTGCTAATTTATATTTTTCGATTCCCTAGGGACAGATCCGTGAGTTTTTACAATATTATTAACACCATGTTCCCCACCCAGGTGACGAGGTGGGCTACGCGATTCGTTTCGAGGACTGTTCGTCTGCCAGCACGGTGATCAAGTACATGACGGACGGCATCCTGCTCCGCGAGGGGCTGCGCGAGCCCGACCTCGACAACTACTGCGCCATCATCATGGACGAGGCCCACGAGCGCTCGCTCTCCACCGACATGCTGTTCGGACTGCTCAGAGAGGTCAGTGATTTGCTTTTACAGGCCTATGGGACTAAGAACCTGTGGCGTTTATCTTATGTGTATATAAAAATGAAACCCGTTTTCTGTTGTCACGCCATAACTTGAGAACGGCAAGACTGATTTCGATGATTTTCTCGTTGTATTTTTTATCGCCAGGAGAAGATTTTTATGACAGAAAAATGTCCTGAAAATCCTACGGGAATGGGAGAAACGGGATTGCGCGTACGAAGTCGCGGGCAGAAGCTAGTTAAAGTATAAATTTACACGTGGGGACGATAACTTAAAGCGTAATCACAATTATTTGTACTTGAAGTTTCTTAGTCCCAAAACTTTTCAGCTATCCCATCCCATTAACCTACAGTGCAGGTGCAGAAGGTACTGAGAACCCGCGTGACCTTTTCAATAGTAGCTGCTACTATTGCGCAAATTGAGGGCGTGACAATGAGGCTGGTTTTATTAACTGCACACGGACGCTAAGCTCTAGTCTCTAGCTATCGATATCCATCCCGTCTTGACTCAGTTGATTTTCAAATTTATTACAAAACTAGCTGTGCCCGCGACTTCGTTCGCGTAGAATAGTGACTATGAGCAGTGTTTTTTTTTAAATATATACTTATTTTTATTTTAGATTTGGATCATAATCACAGTCATTTTGGGTAGCTAAAAAACCTACTTTACTGTAATGCTTCTCTATATACAATATTAGACATATGGCCATCGGGGGTGAAAGCATACAGGCTGCTGGGATTGCTAACACGGGACAGAGCCACATGCAACTGACCGTGCGAAAAACAGCTGATACTTAAATCTATACCCACAACTTTTAGAGTCTGATCTTGAGCTTTATTAATTGTCATGGCGAAACATAGGCTCACTGGAAACTGAATTCGTTTAAAATTAAACGGAAAATTTTTTGGAATGAGAGGAATCTGAGGAATAAAACCACTATCACCTTTTCCGCACCCTGTTAAATATATATATATATTTATAAGCCATTTCTGAGATTAGCGTGAACAGACAAACAGACAAACAGACAAAAAAAAAGTTAGTTACATTTTTGGGTTCAACATCGACATAACAATAGCCCCTGCTATTTTTTTTATTTTTATTTTCAATGTACAGACAGCACTTTTCTACAATTTTATTATATGTACAGATAGATAGATAGTGTTCGACGTGATTCTTTAATTTGACGTAACTTTTTTATTTATGAACCGATTGACATGAAACAAACACTAAAGCATAACTGAAGCATACCACAATATATTCGTGAAAACCGCATCCAACTCGGATAAGCCGTTTCTGAGATTAGCGTGAACAGACAAACAGACAAAAAAAAAGTTAGTTACATTTTTGGGTTCAACATTAACAATAGCCCCTGCTATTTTTTTTTATTTTTATTTTCAATGTACAGACAGCACTTTTCTACAATTTTATTATATGTATAGACAATAACAACGTCTCTACGTACTCTAAAAACGATGAATGTCAACAGATGATTATTATTTAACAATGGTCTGTTGAGTTTTTAAAACATACTAGTCCCTCTGAAAATTGTGCAAAAAACTCGCTAGTTTCTTCTTCTAACTTTTTGATATTTAATTGTAGATGTTAATTGTCTTAACATCAATTTATTCTCAGAATTAGGTCAAACCCTGTCTTGATATATAAATAATTAAAATAAAATCGATAAGAGAAACGTTTGATATACACTAATTAACGATACTTAATTAAAAAGTCTAATATTAGTGGCGTGACATATTTTCTGTCTTTTTCTTCGTTTAATAAAAATAAGAGATAGCAATAACCTGATTGGAAATCACCTTAATATTTAAACTGTGATCTCGACTTTGGAATGACTAATTAGACAAAGTCGTTTATAAGGTTAATTTGTGTATCTTTACTTCTATAGTTTATTAATAAATATTGTCATGACTTCAATGAATGATATTATATAAACTATAAAATAAATAGACATGATGTTATGTTTAATGTTATAAAATATAAATATAAGGTCTATCTTTGGAAAGGGGTAGATAATTACAATGTAGGTATCAACTTTTTGCTAACTTTAAGACGTATGTCTATTGTTTGTAGTTCGTTAAGGGGTACTGGTAGTCTTATACAGTTTTTTATATCCTACTAAAAACTTATTACCCGTATAATATTTAAAGTAAATGCTTTTGTGTTCTTGACTTTTGAAAACCAATTACCTTCTTTTTTTTCGCGTCTGGGGTCGAACCAGCGCAGCGGTAATGTTCTTGAGAATCATACTATTAATGGGTCGCCAAAAGCAGCCTACGCCTATTGGCCGAAGTTGTGAATTTATATACTAAAGATATAACAATCTTAAGTGACTAAACCGAATATATTTATACAAATGACTCCCTAACGTGCTTATTTGAAATGCACACGACATGACGAAGCACCCTTTACATTTTATTTCCCAAATTATTTTTAAAAGACTAAAGTCCATTTCTATTTTCATCTTAAACTCATGATAATATGAATTTTCTTGGCATGAAACAATGGCTATAGTCTGCATTTGAATTCTTTGGTAGATTTTTGTCATATTAATACATGGACTGGATAAGAGATGGCGTTGTACTTAATATAATGGAAACCTTGTTTTTAAAATTTTATCTTTGAGACTCGAGAAACGTACTTCTCAATTGCTTTAAAATTGGATAGATAGAGGGCGCTAATACCTACAATGTTTAATGTAATTTAGTTTTTTCCTTTCATTGCTTACAATATCTTCGCGTTTTTTACCAAGATTTTAAACTAGATGTCACCTCAGTAAAGTTGGACTTCATTTTGTTTAGATATATAAAACTGCACCTACAGAAGGAAGGTTTCACTAACAAATTTTACTTAGCTTATGTATTTATTAGTAGGTGAAAACTTTATTTATTTTACTCAAGTACCTACAGGGTGATGCAGTTTGTAACAGGATTTATCACCTGTATTTTTCTGCTTTGTATTCTGAATGTGCATGAATAGTGAGAAATAAAACAAAAACAAATATTATAAAGTAATCATTTATTCATAAAAATGCTTCATTATAAATAGAACGTTTAAAACATACACGAGTACAACTCTCACAACAGTCAATCTGTCACAATCAACATTACATTATTACCGCGCATAAACTACACAGATTAAAAATACTTTCAAGAGTGCCAACCCAACGACAGGGTTGGCCAACATAACAATACTTTCTTTTGACTAATTCAATTCACATTGAGCGATTTCGAACGAAAAATCGTATTCCAAATTGGAAAAAATAAAACAGTCTTATTAAATCAGAAGGAGTGATATAAATACTCATAAGACTAGGGTTACCACTCTCAAATAGATAAAGATTAAATATTAAATAGCTTTAATATTAGCATTATAGTTATTTATTATATTTAGCATACGAGCCGAGGGGCGTCTTTTTGTTTTAACAACAGGAATGTTTTCTTCATATATTTTTATGACCGAATTAAAGCTACAGAGGGCCACTTTCACAATTTCCTCTTTAACATACGTATAGGCGGTGTATAGCTAATTTTTTTTCCAAAGACTACATTCGCTATCTAATAAGCTATCTACTTTTAAACTTTTCAAAGTATAACAGGATCTAAAATGTATTGAATTTGGTCCAAATGTATTTAAATTTGTGAAAGATGCCCCTAGAATTTAGTACGTTCCAAAGAGAGACAGTATTACTAGCTAAGTTGTCAAAGTAAATACTGGCAGGAAAGACAACGAAACAAAAAGAGTACACTTAATGAAATTCATAAGAAAGGAACATTCAAATATATAAATCCGTTAAAAAAATATCCGATCTCATCACGAATAGTTCCGAAGTGAAAGTGACTTCAACACGGATGTGTATCCGAATTGAGAATCTATTCAAATCGGATTCTAAATTCTACATTTAAATCAGAAATGCAATTTCAAATTCAAACGTAAACCGATAGTAACGCATGACGTTTCATGTTGAAACTGGGAACGTAAGATAAAAGTTCCGGAACATTTTAGACGTGGTCGATTTTCTTGGGTGATGGCCAGAAGCAGGCGTAGCAGGAGTATTTACCAGCGGAGTGGGTGCCGCTGGTGGATGACACTCAGACGGACTTAGCCTTCTCTCTAGCGTAGTTCTGACTGACAAGCATCACACCCATATTCATGCCGACGTTTCCCCACTTGAACGACTCGCTTATCTGCAACAAATACATTGGAAAATTAGTTCAAAGAAGACTTCTAAATCACAGGGATTTTAGTATAGACGTCACCGCAAATTAGTCTAAAACTTCTCTAGAACATTTAAAGCATTAATGGACTGTGAACATAAAGTTAGGGACTTGACTATCACAAACGGACTAACACAATTTTTTGTTAGAACACTATTATAGTCGTTTGTTTAAAATTTTAGTGGAAAATTCTTTTTGTATCCGTATCTCAACATGTTAAATGGTTCATAAAATTTTATCTGCATTTTAACTCAAGGGTGCGAAAGGTCGGTTCGTGACTATCATAACGACTGTACAAATGATACTATAATACATTGCTAGTGATACTAACGTGCTATGCAATGTTACATAATTGAAGGTGGTCCACTTAACATTCATTACACATGATTGAGCGTTTCAACGATTCTACAATAAAAGTCATTAAGAAGCGACATCTGTGCATAATTTGACAAGTGATCAAAAATCTGTGCATAGATTCGGAAAGTATAAAAATAAGAAATAATACAATTCTTGTAACGTACTTTGTCGCTTAAGTTAATCGAGTTATCTATGTTTTAACGGTGATAATAAAACTTCAATGCCATTTGTAAAGCATAATGGTCCTACGGCCGCAGTCTTGAGTAATTTATCTATTGGAACGACCAGTTGTAACTGCTTTATTCTCGATCAATTGTTTTAGGGCGTGTTCAGATAAAATGTTGATATTAAATAATATTTGTATGTTAAAAACTTCGCATAGTTACTTAAAGTTTATCATTTTGCGTGTCAGAAGTTAACGTTCCTAATTTTTAATGTTTTATTTTTCAAACTTTGACATATGCTGTCAAATGTGTCAAAATTGACGTTATTGGTGTCATATTTAGTTTCGAGCTTTTTAACTGCGACCTCGAAGTTTGTGGGCGGCTTAAATATAACGTTACTAGTACCTACCCACATATGTACACACTATAAATGACGCAGTTAAAAAATTAGTTAAATAATTCATATTATGTTATCTGTGTCATTTTAAACAAATTTATTCAATAGAATACCCTAAAATTATATTGTAGTTTTAATAGTTTCCTCCTAATTTTCCGGAATACAATACTAAATTATCTGTTGTCCCGTCCCAAGCGGTTTTCCTTGACTTTGACGTATGTTACAACAAAAGGTATGCGTCGTTGACGTATTTTAAAATAAACAAACCATTGAACATGGCTCATTAAAAGCAGTTTATGTATTTCTTTCTTATTTCCTCTTATGTTTACTTTACGAGCGTAAATACCTACTTTTATGTCAATAAATAAATATATTTTATGTGTTACTAGCGACCCGCCCGGCTTCGCACGTGGAATATGCATTTATTATACATATGAACATTCCTTAAGAATCACTATCTATTAAAATCCGCATCAAAATCCGTTGCATAGTTTTAAAGATCTAAGCATACATAGGGACAGACAGACAGCGGATAGTGACTTTGTTTTATACTATGTAGTGATAAAAACACCCTATACACATTATGGAACATGTCTGTTAATTTATAGAAGTTATTCTAATGAATGCAGAATGCTAGCCATTATAACACAGCTATTATTGTTTATTACATACCTACTAGTATTATGTAACATCAATATGTTTTGAATAAGTTAATTGCATTTAATATTATGAAGAACTTTAGATAACATTAATGCACTCTATTTAATCTTTTGTCACTTTCAAGTGGCATAGTTACAACTTTTCTCGATTTGTAAGTTATCAAAATTAAATAGTAATTTGTACATTTATCTTTTGACATTTTAAACTGGATTTATTGAGATTGTATTTGTTTTAAACAGTGATTTTTTGTATGTATTAGATTAGGCGTATTAAAGAAGTGCACTTAGCTAATTCTTTTTATAAATATAGATATATTTTAACAGATATCACTGTAAAGGAGGATGAAACGTAACACATTATGTAAATGTTCGTTCCATAGCAAGAATTGTATGATATCAGTGTTTATAAAAATGTATAACATTGTTATATGTATCCATGTGATCGATACCTACAATTGAATCGCTTTCACTTTTTAAACAGTCGCTATGCAAAACATACTCGATTTGTTTCATACATATTATTATCGTGTAGTTTATACTTTGAAGATTATTTTACTTTTTCGTGGAATAGATTAATTATGTAGGTAGTAGGTACTCGATTAAAATAAATGTCATTTGAATTTGACCCGTGTAATTATTTATAGTTAGATTAGTTTTAACTCGTCGAGTACCGGTTTTGTAGACACAATTATAGAACAATAGGTTGCGGTCACCGGTGACCGCTTGGTGTTTGACAGTTTAAAGAGCAATTATTATCAAATCGATTTAATTACTTAATAAACCGATCATCATTATATTTTGTACGCATGATTGGATGTTAAATTGAACAATTTTTGCCAGTCGATTGCCTAATTCGCTACGTGCGTGTTTACACGAAACTTGTATTTTTCCCTCCAAGAAAGTTTAACTATCAACCGTATTAGTGAGTAATACAGAACTATAAAAAGACACATTTGAATCATCTGTCCGTTATCATAAACGACGCACATGAACATAGAGTTAGAAAACATAGAAGGCACACTGACTCCTACATCTTACAATCTGTAAAATTCAAAACCTCACCGGTATTGTTATTCTTGCCAGCTGTAAGTGTCCAAAGCGCCTCAACGATTACCATCAAAAGATGATAATCATAGGTGTTTTCGACGTCGTTAAGCTGATCTGTAACAAAATGTCTGCTTTGTGCGATCTCTTTTTACTTTCCGGACCCAGTTTATGCCCCATGCATGATGGATGATCGCCAGTCTTGATGTGCCATTGACTCGGTTCCTCTCTCAGTCCATAGTAAACAATCAGTCAGCATAGACATTCACAATAAGCTAAGTATCAAGAAGCATTTACAATGCTTGACTGAAGATAGAAATGTACAGGGGTGAAGTAATACTGCCGTTAGAACGTGCTTCGTACGTTGTAAAGGCGGCCTTACTTTTTGCGACTATGCATTCGCATGCAGTAATATAAAAAAATATATTCTAGAAACGAATACGTGTTGTATACGGAATATGGAAGGTAATGATGCGCGTACAAGTACGCGGTATTGTCGTATTGTTACTGAAATCGAGAGCTCGATAAACGCGTTTATTGGTTTCTAGAATCGTACACTTCTGTATATTGTATAGTATTGTGCAATTTACCTGTCTCATGCGAGCCTCCTGCGGAGTTTCTCCGTATCTGCACCAGTGGACGAAGTGCAGGGTATTGTGCCAATTCCTCTCGAACCTTGATTTAGTTGCCATATCCAGCTGCAATCAGTAGAAGCTCCTTAGTAGCTGTTCCACTGTTCGAGTGTGCCCACAGTTTCCAATAAACGAAAGACCCCTTGAGGTTTTCGCTATCTGAAACGAGAGGTTTCCAATTCTGACGCAAGCCTACGGTATTGAAGGAAGAACGTCTAAGTTCGATCGAGAGTTAAGATAAACCACTGACGGTTGGAATTATATCATGCATTATACTAAAAGATTAGTTGGAAAGGAAAACGGAATATTTACAGTACTTTCAAGATAACGCTAATGTTACATTGACACGGGGATTTGTTTAGAGATAAATTATCTTTTTGTGAATTTTTATTACTCAGGAAAATCTAAAGTCCAATTATTATATAGATTACAAATCATGTCCGCGAAAGTATTATCACACGATTACAATTTGCTCGAATTGTTTGCCGTCATGTCATTAGTTTGGTGTCGTAATGTTTTACAAGACAGTCTGTCTGGTTTTAGCAATCTTACATTACAAAACTTTGATTCGTATGAAACTTTAGCCTCGGCATTAGATGTATCGTGGATCATTGAAGGCCATGTGATTATGTCACTAGTACAAGTATCAAGTTGAATGTGTTTCGATATTGTTTTGTTTCATTAATTTAATTTATCAGTAGCACGTAAACTGTGCAACTGTAAAACAATTCACAGATATCATGATTTGCAACTACAACTGGTCAGTTAGAGGGGATATAGTCGAAGCATACGCTAACGTGTTTTAGTAAATATTGGAATTGGAAACGTGGACTTCCGAAAGTTTCGTTGTGTAATTACCTTTGCTCTGATATCTTTCTCGTTGTTCGGCGTCTCCTGTTTATCGTCCACATTGTTGATGCGTATCACGGAGTCCTTCTTCCAAAAGGCACCGAGTGTGGTCTTCACGACTCGTTTTCTCACACCTTTCTGTTGAACTGTGTACACTTCTATCTGTTCCGGGTTCTTTGTTTTTTCTGTCGGAAGAACAACATTTTTTCGTTAAAAACCGGATCGCTCAAGTCGCGTTCGGAAATTCCTCAGACGTCTCGGATATTTTTATGAGAAAAAAATACAAGGCCTTTGCCCTTTCAAAACTACACCTCTCGTATTGCCGACTGCTTTACGAGCTTAAACGCATCAACAATCCATTCGTTAATCCCATTAAAGCGAATCGCGCATGCACATGAATTATTTACAAACGCTATTGTGAATTCGTCTTGTTACGTGTGACCGTGGGTGAATTGTGCCAACTTTATTTAGTCTCGATGCGAGGCTCACACGAAGTGAACGTTATCAACGCGTCCTAATTACAATGTATATCATGACGACCGCGACAACTTTAAATTCCTTTTATGTTTAACAATTTCCGATAACAAGTTAATGTTAGTAATACAACACATATGGTACACACCTTTACCCTTCTTCCACATGGCGACTGCATACATGTGATAGTCTGGCGACAGTACCGAGTCCGGGGGCAGTGGGTCCTCGGCCCGCACTTCGAGGATGAATCCTGTTTCGCAGACGGCGCACAATATATTTTGTTCGTCATGCTTGAACCACTTGGTCTCACGGAGCTTATGTATGGCGACTGACGATCCAAAGCGGGGTTTCTTGGGCGCGAACAAAGCCTGTGCCTGACTCCCGAATCGAGACAGGAGCCCCTTCACCGTCGGTGGGGACGGCGCGAGGCTCTTCTCAGGCGGCTTGATCTGCTGGAAACTCCGGCAGGTCACGAACCTCGCTTCCATTGAACCCCTCTCCAAGCTCAAATACACGAGACAATTCCCCTTCCACTGATATTACGTTGCGAGGGCGTCACGTCTTCTTGGTTCTTAGGCGCGGCAATATACTCTCACTCGAGAAATCACGTTTTATAAGCAACACTTTCACAATTTATGTAGCGCGTGGTATCGCGATCGTAGAACAACCGAGCTATACGGTGGCGCAGTAACGTTAGACGCGGCGCGCGTGTGGGGGCACGGTATATACGGCCGGCGGGGGGCGGCGGCGCGCGGGCGCGGGGAGGGCCCCTCTACTCCGGTCTCTCTGACCTCACTAGTGTTGGGTATTGTGCGATAACACACATGTTTGTAGTTTTCATTGTTGTTTCAATGCACCTATTGTTGATAGCTTCTATGTGGAATTCCTTGCACTTTTACACTTTTTTGGATTCCTAAATCGTTAAAATAACAACTTGGAAGTGTTGAGATGTTTGAATCAGTTCTAATATATATTAAAGAAATGATTGCACAGATGTTTTTATCTTACGTAGGTTTTAAATAATTCTAATTTGCCACTGCCCCTCTTATTTAGGCCTCCTCTAAATAAGAGGAGTTTGCAAAAATCCCTACGATCGACAGGCAGGTTGGGGATAGCAAATTAAAAGGCACAAGTTCACAATTGATATTTAGAAAATGTGCGTCGAAAATGTAATCACTCTAATTTTTTTATTGTTTCCTCAGCTCTGTTACGAGTTTCAGATTATTTATAATAATATGTTGAACAAAATTATGTAAATAAGAGTAGGTAAACCATTTTACAGTTTATGTTTATGGATTTTCCTGCCGTGCCCGCATCGAAGTGGGATTACCCGTTAACAATAAGTAATGTAAATAAATAAACATAATTATATGCTATGCCATCTCATCGTATTTGGCCTGCTACTCAACATTTTTTTTTATTTATAACCTAACTCGAGAGTTGATTATTTTATAATATAATGAATATCATGTCCTCGTCTATATCATCACAAAGTTAACTTAAGTACTTGTGAGGTTTTGTAATTAAACTAATGATTTTCGACGTCTTTACCTTTCGTAAAGACGTCGAAAATCACATGGATGTTATCATCATCATATCAGCCTCAGGACGTCCACTGCTGAACATAGGCCTCCCCTAATGACTTCCAGATAGACCGTTTGGAAGTGAACTGCATCCATGGATGTTATATGTTATTACATCCTTTACTAAACACCAATTATAGGTACCATACAGTAATTAAAAAAGTCACTCGATAATACATTTCCGAGAAAACACCCAGAACTCAAATCGGAAGTGACCAAATAAAATGTCGATAAAAAACATCGATAAAAACAACACTGTCGTCACATCTCTCGGCGATGCACCGACTTGACCTCACTCGCTGCTAGTTGTGACACCCCCCGCGCACACCGCGCCCCCTCTCCCCGCGCCCCGACAAACCGGCGCCAACCGTCAGGTATAACTTTTTCACTTTATTTTTACACTATCAGTTTAAAATAACTGTTATTTAATTGAGCTATTCATTATCGCGGTATGCGGTAACGTTACTTCTCTATATTATTGTAAACATACTCTTTCCTGTTATTTTTTATTCTGGTTTAAACTGTATTAGTATATCAACGTGTCGTGTGACCTTTTCCCGCCTATTTGTGAGTTTACTTCTCACAAATAATTTAATGTTACTTCATATTATGAAACTTGTTTGTCCAAATAAATGCTAAATCATTTTTACGACCGAATTTCATGTAATTACTTGTATGAACCGAATTAGAGCCGTGTCGCTCGACGCGGCCCAGTTGTCCTGCCGACTCATTTCCAGCGGAGACATGGACGAAGCCACGTACGCACGCATTCGCATTATTTACAAACAAATGCACAAACAAGGTAAATGATGCCAAAATTACGCAAAACAATGTCAAGGAAACCATTGATTTAAAGGCATGTCGTAAATATTATTATCATTGTGGACCGACATGAGATCTTATTTCAAGATAACGATAAAGGTTTTAATTGCTTGAAGGACAATTGATAATTTAACCTAAAATGGTGTTAAAGGAAACTGTTTGAATGCAAAGTAGTTTTTATTGAGGCTTGATTGAAGTTGATATTGAATTCTTAAATATTTTTACAATTCTTTTTTTTTTCTTAGACATTTTTTGCATCAACATTATATAGAACCCATATGGGATTTTCTTGAAAATAAAATTAGTGATCCGTGTCATCCATTTGCATCAAACGATAAAAGATTCTATCAAGCAAACAAAATACACAGCAGAATTCAATAACACCAAAGAGTAACTTCAAAGGTATTACGATAATCACTTTTGACCCCCAAACCTCCCCTAAGTTCAAGGTGGATGCCGAAATAAACAAGAATCCTATTTGAAGTAAGTAACTCAATATACAGAGTCCCGAAAGATACTTATCTCTATAAATACATTTTACCTTGAGACCTACTCAAGATTGAGGTAAACTAATAATGTTTGGGAATTTTCGTAACTAGAATATTAATATTTTGTATTGCCCTGTGTATTCTAGCTTAGTCACGGATAATGCGTGTTAAATTATTAAAACTAATAAATGATGAAGAAACGTTTTCACTATTAAGGAAATAAATAACAAGGAAAGCAATGTGATACACTATACTAATGCTACGTTAAGATCTTTAAGCTGTTTTACTTTCCTAATATGTTATAGGTAAAGATAGTTCAAAAAAACTTCTTATCAAGAGAAATGACCTCCACTACATTTACAAAACAGCTCAACAGGTATTTTGATAATACCGGAAAACCCAAAAGATCAACGGATTCAATCTTGCGGAAGCGGCAGTGCATGTTAATGCCCAGAGATAAAAGAAAATTTAACCCCACACCAAATAATCCTTGAAGAAGCACAGCTAACGCAAAACGGGATATGATAATGTAATCCATTGCATTCGCTCTTGTAAATAGCGATTCTGCTGACGTCCTTTAAATGCGCCTTCGAGAGGGGTGCCCTTCGAAACGCCCTTGACCCAAATTTACCCTACATCGTTTATCCGTTTATGTGACGCTTTAAAACTTCTAGCGAACTTTCTGGAACAATTTGTATTGTATTTCATCTTTATTTATTGCAAAGTTTTCTAAGGGTTTCTTTTTAGTTTTCTTTGCTTTGCTTTCATAGTAGACTGTCCTACCTTGCCCTTGGCCAAAAATGATTTACGTGTTTTTTTAATATTTTTAAGTTTAAAATTCTTTGTAATAATGCGTGACTTGGTCTCCATATAGATATGTGCTCAACAGAATTTTTCACAAAAGAAAATAGGCACTATACCTCTAGATAATGTAGCATTAGCTAACATTTTTCCAACGTGCGTGTTATCTACGTCTCTATTAAATTTCCTGTATCTATATTATTGGAAGACTGCAATTGCATCAGAATCTTTGTCATATTCTTTTAAAAAAACATTTGTCACGTTTTTATCTTCGAAATCAGTCTATTGGAGCACGTTATCAGTTTTTCATAAAATCGTAAGGATTAATTCGATTGTTTGTAGATTTGCGCTTTTATTTATAAATGTTTAATCTTCTTTGCTTGAGAATTTGAGTCAGTTGGCTCCTTGAATACGATTCAGTGCTTGTTTTGGTTTTAGTTTGATATCATATTTATGATTCTTTGTTGAATTTTGATAAGCTTACACTAAACTGCAATTGCTACACTGCATCATTACTATTTTCTTTGGCGTGCCGTAACTGGTCACAGTGTCAGCTCACAGAACTTTAATTCCTAAATTAGCTTTATTAGTTTCTTCTTTGAGTCTCAGGGGCTCGTCGTAGCAAACTCGTCCTTCCAAGTAATGAATATGATAATAATGATACGTCACAGAATGAGTTATATCACTCCAAATTTTTCATTGCTCCAATTATATATATGATATATATTAAAAATTGCCTGCTCTTCAAGTTGTACGACATGCATTATATTATCTACGTAAAAACTCCGTTAATTATCAAACATGGAAATATGAGAAATGGTAGGTATCAGATAGCTGTCTATTAATACTACATTGCCCTTTACTTTGCATCGCCATTTACGACTGGCACGGGTTGACCTAGTGGATATTTTCTGCAATCTTTCCATTCAGTGCCACAGTTGAAATGATAAATGAAGTGTAACAAAAAGCAAGCTTAATGGCGCATATGTATGAAGGTTTCCGAGAAAAAAGAGACTAGAAACTTTATGCAATTATTGAGAAATTCTAAAATGGAAAATTCCAATAATACTTCCATGTTTGTGCTGATCATTATCTTGCCAACAAGTTAAAGTTTAATAAGTCTAACATAAAGCATGTTTCCACAGACGTGTAAAACTTTTGCAAAAGCATACCTGTGTGCCTCGCAGTTGACCGAAAGAAACGACACGTTTTGAAACCAGTCTCAAAATTATAGTCCCTCAGTTATTTCATATAAGTATAAATTCAAATTACGTCTTTCGAATGCAACATTTTTTTTGTTCGTTCCAGAACGTTCTTTTGCGCTTAAAGTCGTCTGCATAACGATTTGTGCAGACAAATAAAATATGCATTATTGCAAATATGCATTATTATAAATGCGCAATTTATTTATATCATGAGGCTATTAGGTTTTTACCTGTTTGTGTTGTGTTTAGAGTTCCATTTTTATATTAATGATGGATTAAAAGTTACTCTTTATAATCCTATATTCGGAGTACCTATAGCAGAATATAGCTAAAAATTTAAAATATCTTTCTATGACGAATGCTTCAAAGACTTCAAGTAGTTAATAGTGGTGCAAATATGTTTTAGGTAAAGTTATTCAGAGCAATTTAAATAAAAAAATGAATCCACTTTCTTAAATAAATTCTCAGAGATTTATTAGACTACACGAGCGAATACCAGAAAATTATTACAAAGAAGTAATATTGTATCGCAACAAAGACAGAATCAAACTTTTATTTGCTGTTGAACTTAATTGTATTTTCTTATACAAAACAGCGAACAAGTGGCGTCAAGGCCAGTGATTAATAAATATTTAAAGTTGCTGTACTTTGAATTTGCTCAGCCGTGAACACATGGATACTCGATTGAAGCACTTTTTCCTTTGTCTTGTTATGACAACTACATTATAACGTTTGTAAAAGAAAATTGATATATTTTTAGTTCTTACTATGTTAATATGAACGCGTCTGTTGCTATCGG